ATTTATGAAGAAATAAAAATGTAGATATATATATTTGTTTAAATATATGAAATACACATAAAATTATTTATTTCTTTATAATAAGCCAAACTATATACACAGCTTTAAAGCATTTTAATTCTGATGTCCTTTGAATAAGACATGCTACTCATTCCTTCAGATTGCAAACTTGCTGATATTGACAGGTTTGAGTTCTATACAATTCATAGTCAAAATTTTAGATGTTGAGTGATATAAAATTATAATTCAAATACTTAAAATAATTTAAGGATGGGTACTTCTATGACTTTTTTGTAACTCCAGGTAAAAACTTAAAATAATTGTGACTAATGAATCTGGAAATAGAGAAAACTATACAAGTAAATAAAAGCTTTTGACCTCATGAATAGCAATTGTGCACTGTTTTCTACTATCTGGATTACAATGCTGTCTCTTATGTTCTTTTAAAAGTAAATTATAACTAACATGAGCTGGATGACTTTTGTTCAAGTTCACTTCAAGTTTAAATTCATTTGTCTCAGTTTATCAACTTTGAAGTAATGTTTCTCAGTGCATTTGGTGTGTCATATCATCAAGCTTTGCCAAATTCAATCCATTATCTTTGAAAAGCCAAACAATAATAATTTCTTCAATACTGAAATGCAAGTCAATATTTATCTGTAGTAAATTATCCTTCTAACTAAAAAGTTGGAGGAATTATACAAAATATGGTATTATTTCTATAAACTAAGCAGACATCACGGGAAAATAGGCTGTTATAACAAATCATTTAATATGCAGGGTGCCTCCAAAAATGTATATACACTTCAATAGCTGATAGCTCAATTTTGAAAATGAAATGTACTTTCATAAACACTGCCTTTGTAATAATTCAAAATGTGTGCATACATTTTCAGGTCACCCTATATTATTTAGTGGGAGAGTATCACAAACCATTTCGTGAAGCTGATAAAAGCTGTGGGCCCTATTTTGGAACAAATTACATACAGTTATAAACAGATATTTTTCATAGCAACATAGCACAATGCTTCTCATCCCCAGAACATGTAAGTGAGCGGAAAGAAAAAATTGGAAGTCTCTAAAATTTAGAAGGTAACAGCCCACCAATGTAGTAAGAAACAACTGTAGTATTTATTGAAGAAAATATTCCATCATTCAAAATAAGGCAAGAAAGAAGGAGAATTAACATCATTAAAATGTCCATACTACCCAAATCAATCTACAGATTCAATGCAGTTGCTATCAAGACACCAATGGCATAGTTTACAGAACTACAACAAATACCCCAGACATTTATGTGGAACCACAAAAGACCATGAATAGCAACAGCAATCTGGAGAAAGGACGAAGTTGAAGGAATCACATACCTGGTACCAAACTACACCACAAGGCCACAGTAATCAAAATAGCCTGGCAAAGGTGGAACTGCCAAGTTTTCACCTGCAAAGGAAACAGCAGTCATGGGCATAAAAACTAAAGCATGCTTCCTAAGCACTTCCAAAGCCTTTCTTTCTCCAAATCACCTTCTGAGACAAACCTACAGCAAAGATGATGAGAACGGCCTATGTCAAATGACCACCTGGTCACTCAGACCTGCACCTCACCCATCACTGCTGTAACTCGATCAGCACTCCCTTTCAGGGGGCAGACATTTCTCCTTTGCGAATACTTGCCCCATTGGATACCAGAAAGAGAGGAGATTAATTTGCTAAACTCCCTAAATATGTTGATTGCTAATACAGAGTTGCGAAAAAGGCAGGGACATTTAGTTGTATTCCTCCATGTCCCCGGGACAAAGCAGGATGTGTGGCCCGTTTCCCTCTTCCCTCTGTCTCTAGAAATCTCCTTTCATCCACCGAATCCAGCTCAGGGGAGCCTTTCCTCATCAGCTCCCAACAGCCTCTACCCCCTTTCACCCCCCACAGTCAGGCTAAGTCAGGTTTTCCTAAGAAAGGATTTCACCACTTCCTGACCATCCCCTCAACGCCTCACTGTACTTTGGCTGGTTACTCCTGTCTGACCAACATGGGCGTGGCCAGAATCTCTGCAGGAAAGCCATAAGAGCATCACCTCTAAGTCATCCCTCTCCTTTCTCTCCCTGATCAGAGTACCCCCATCAATCACCACCAACTTTCCATCACTGCCCGATACTTGCTGCCTAGAGTCTCCTTTCCCACCACAGAACAGACTTCGAAAGAAACAGAGGCACCCTGTGCCTTGTCCACTGCACATTTAGTTCATCTGCTGAGCGAACTAAAACTTCTGGCAGAGGACTTTCCCCCCAATGGACGGGTCACACATGTCCTGTCTCTGCACTGTCCACTACCCTACTCCCACAGCGGCTGGTAACACCTGGCACATGGTCCAAGCTCCAATCGTTTGTTGAAATACAAGTAACTGTTAAGGCTTGTTACTCTTGTTATTGGCTTTAGAAAAGCAAAATGAGGCCGAAACTGGTTTGGCTCAGTGGATAGACTGTAGGCCTGCAGACTGAAAGGTCCCGGGTTCGATTCTGGTCGAGGGCATGTACCTTTGTTGTGGGCACATCCCCGGTAGGGAGTGTGCAAGAGGCAGCTGATCAATGTTTCTAACTCTCTATCCCTCTCTCTTCCTCTCTGTAAAAAAATCAATAAAAAATATATTTTTAAAAAAAAGAAAAGCAAAATGAATCTACTACTGCTTTTAGTTTAACCGTTTAGCAAAAAGGTTTACGAGGGTGAAAATTAAAGTGATCGTGAGCCTTTCTCTTTTGAAGTACTATCTTAGTAGTCCAGCTGATGGACACTGAGTATTAGTCAGCAGATAAACCCGTGGACCTCAAAGATCTGCCACTGCTCATTTTTGTTCAAAACTACAATCTTACGTTTTCATCTTTGGATTTACAAATGGCCTGAATGTTACTGCGCCTCCTTTGGATTTCTCACTTTTCAGCTTCATGAGTAGGTTTGCTCTCCATTCTTGCACACAGTATCCATACACTATGAAAATGTATGTAAACTTGAGTAGTATTTACTGAAAATCCCTAAAATAGATATTAACACTTGTCGAAGAAAAAATATTTAACTTGCAAATTTAGAAATATGCTCACTGATACCACTTCAAGCACTCCAATGCATGAATCTGGGGGGAGGAAATGTTTATTTTTGCACATTGCTTTACAAAGACCTATTCATATGTTTTCATAAAGCAGCGTCACTTTGTCACTTTCCCGAAATGCACTCATGTGAGAGGTGCTGGCGTTGGGAGCCCAGATGGTACTACATTGTATGACAGCGCTAAGACAAGTAGGCCTGGTCACATTTTGTGCATGTATGTGTCTCTCCATGGAAGAAATGTTTTGTGTGTGTGAGGGGGGGGGGGGTGTTTGTTTTTTGTTTAAATATATTTTTTATAGATTTTTTTACAGAGAGGGAGAGAGAGGGATAGAGAATTAGAAACATCGATGAGAAAGAATCATCCATCAGCTGCCTCTTGCACACCCCCTGTTGGGGATGCGCCCACAACCAAGGTACATGCCCTTGACCGAAATCGAACCTGGGACATTTCAGGCCAACACTCTATCCACTGAGCCACACCGGTCTCTGCCTCCATGGAAGAAATGTTTTATTAAATGTATTCTGTGTGCAGGAAACAGCGGCTAGGAGATGAGATTATTTCTTACAAGTTTATCCGCGCCATGCCTTAAACAGCCTCAGGTGCATGTGTGTATCGAACAGAATCTCCTCACTCTGGACCATCACGTATTATTAACATAAAATGAATAAGCTCCCCGCACGCTGTCCTTTAGGGAGAAGTCTTGGCTCAGCAATGCCTTCAGCGATCCCTGGGAATTCCGAGAAAGGCATTTAACTCCAATGTGTGTCTATTGAGTTTAATTGTTTTTACTTTTATTCAGACTTACAATTGAGTGTTTTTAAACGATGGGGCTCATCTACAAAACCTCCTTCCAGAGCGAACAAACACAAAGCCCCGGTTTTGTAATAGCCAGGCACGAACGCTTAGAAATTAGGTTGTCAATCAACTCTGTCTCCTCCCTTCAAATAAAGGAAGGAAAATCTCAGATATAAGGTCTGTATATAATGAAGTTATTCTGGCCTCTTTCCTATAAACAAATCAGCACACAAAACTTATCAATTAAATATCATCCTTTGTGGCTTCAACCATCTTTGTAGGAGGTTGGAAGTTAATAAATCATAATAATTATGTGTGTTCCCTCTGGACCTTGAATTCCCTGTGTGTGATATTTATACATCCATACAGATCACACACACACACACACACACAAGAGGTTCTGCTACTTGTATGAAGTAGTGGAAGCCTCAGTTCTGCTACATTACATATGACGTTTTAGTTCTTCATTCACTTGGAGATTCTTTAGAGAGTTGCTAAAAAAGATAAGAAGGGATAGCAGAATAGATAAAATTTAGGGTCAGAAGACAGAGCTTAACACTGTATTCTTGAAGGGATGCAGAATACGCCACCCCAAGGTATTTGTTATAAGGATTCTTTTGAACTGGCAATAGTCAAAATCCAGGCTCCAATAAAGCTCTTTACCTCTTCTCAAGTGCTTAGACTGACATTATAAAAAGGGCCATCTGTATCCGTAAGAGAGCTATTACCAAAGGGACCTTTTTCCTTCTCTCCCTCCCTATAAAAGGTCTTCCTTCCCTTGGTATCCTCCGATCCCCGCCCCTTTCCTTGGCTCAGGATGTTAGAAAATCCTCAGTTACCTGACTGCCCTTTAAGTCTTCATATCTTTATGAAGCTCCTGTACATATGTAATTAAATCTTTGTGGTTTTTCTAATAATCAATAATATAATTATTGATAACCTAATGATTACCAATGTAATTATTAGACCAGGCAAAGAACCTGGAAGGGATGAAGGGAAATTTTGTCTGCACTACATCCTGCAGGTCCTGACCTTGCTGCGGGGACCAGAGCTGGCCGTGATGACTGCGTGAAGGCAAAGGAGGAAAGCAAGGGCAGTGCAATACCCACAACCTGCCACTGTGGTGCGTAACTGACAGGGCACACGTGGTGTTGCACTCGTTCTTTCGCCTGCTCCATGCTCAAAGACAAAATAAAGAAAATGAGTGCTTTTGGCCCAGTGTTTCCATACAACAGGCCAGTAACCAACACGAACATCACTACACTTTGCCTTCTTATTTTTTCATTCAGAATTGGATTGCTGCTGAATTCTTTACATACAAAGATTGCTTTGCAATGTTTAATTCCTTTATTTTACCTATCTTGTCTTTAAGATTTGATTAAACTAGTTAGAGACTTCGTTTCTTCATTGGCGGGTAAGAATAATCCTTCCTTCTCTGGTTATTGTGTGGATTAAATAGCATATTATTTCTAAGTAACACCTTGTTTTTACATTACAACGCACCCTACAAATGTTAGTAATCTTTTGAGTGATAGTCCAAGACCACAGCCAACATTGTTTGTCTGGGAATGAAACCTAGAGCCGTACATCAAAGCAGAGAAGGAATAGTTTCCTTGAAGTTCAGATTCAAGTGAGGCTGAAAGCTGACCTGGGTTTGGAGCAGTGGCCATAGCTCAGTCTCCATGTGCATTCGCACATGGTGGGCACCTCCTCACTGCACACTGCTCACCTGTGTACGCCTTCGAGTGTCCAGGTGAGCCCTGGGCATAGCTTATCTGTCCTGATGAATTTACAACAATGTGCATCGTGGCTCAGCCATACTAGTGCTTCCCCAGTGCCCACAGAGGCACCGTGAAAGGATTTTTTTTTCCCCACATAGTCTGAGTGTGGTGCTCTTTAAGCGAATTTGCTGCAAATAAGCTGGCAGGAAGCACTGGCCCAAAATGAAGCCAACCCAAGATCCTTCATGTCTGTCTGACCCTGAATCAGAATGGGCCTGAAAAATGGACTGGTTGAACTCCCTGAAACAAATGATGCCTGAGTGGTTTCATGCATAATAACTGCCTGGGATGTAAATGGGGCCATCCGTCAGCAGTCACCTACGTGCAGTCACACCTCCCTGTTCCTGCAAAGTCCTTCATGCCGGCGCCAGAGCCCACCCAGGAAGTTGCTGTTTCAGCATGCCCCGGGCGCCGGGAAGTAAGCCAGAGCCCTCAGGACCTGTGACCCTCTCTTCAGAGAAGATTCCAAAGACTTGGAGGGAACTCTTATAAAAGCTGGGATTCGGTATATATCCTTCCCTAACAACATGACCAGGGAGTTTTAAGGTTTGGCTTTCAGAGGCCTACCCTCCACTCATACCAGAGTAGATGAGGTGGCATTTTCATAAAACTCATGAATAGGCAGTGCCTGTCAACACCATCTTCAAAGATAAAACCAAACGAAGACCCCTTAAGCCCTAAAAGGTTTGGCTCAGTGGATAGAGCGTCGGCCTGCAGACTAAAGGGTCCTGGGTTCGATTCCGGTCAGGGGCATGTACCTTGGTTGCGAGCACATCCCCAATAGGGGATGTGCAGGAGGCAGCAGATCGATGTTTCTCTCTCATCGGTGTTTCTAACTCTCTATCCCTCTCCCTTCCTCTCTATAAAAAAATCAATAAAATACATTATAAAAAAATTAAAAAAAAAGATGTCTTTAGCCTCAGGTCTTCCTGTGCATTGAGTCACTGGCCAACCTAATATCTGTCTGAACAAATATTTCCCTTCTCATTTCTAGAAGGCAGCCCATGACTCTTGACAAGGGAGAGCCCCCCCATTGAGGTTAAATCTCTGGACTCCAATCTGCTGTGTAGAGGGGGTGTATTCCCCGGCGTCATCGCACACAGCTCGCCGCCTGCTCACATATATTAGCACGTTGCTATATGCTATTGAGTTTTATTCCTTTGAAAACAAATATGCACTGATATGCTTGCAGTTTGGATGATGAACACGGAATGCAAATAAAAGGAGATGGATAGGAGTCATTTTCAGACAAGATTTACCCCGAAGGAGCCCCCAACGCAGCGATTCATTTCACCACCTCCGGCCTGACAACCGCTGACATTCAAGTCAAAGGCATGTCCTAATCGGCACCCCTGTAACCACTTCTTCTTCTTCTCGCATTTGTATGCTAATCACCAGAAGCAAAAATAGACTTAGATTGGAAATCAAAGATTGGTTGTACACAGGTAATAGAGTGCTTGGACGCTTTATTTAAAGATAGAAGGCTCCTGAACCAGGCTTTATTATTAAACTAAGACTATCTATCCTTTTTGACACTTTTTAAATTAAGTTCTTCCTCTAATTTATGTTTTTGTCAGCTTTCTTCCCTTACCTGGTTTTAAACTGGCTTTCCCCCACCCCACCCCCTCTAAGTAATAAACTACTCCAGAGAAGGGGAGAAAAAAAATTTTAATGACCCTAGAAATTCAGATTAACAAAATGGATCATTTGTATATCGTCACAGAGTTATGAATCCTTCTGAAATAATCTGTGCAGAAATTTTGCCTGATACAAAATTTCATTTTCTCTCTCTGACTTCCCCTACTTAAAAAACAGAATCGTTATGCTACCTTTTTAATAAGGTCAGACAATTAAAAGGAGAGAGGTTTGGGATCATTTTGAGGCTCAAACAAATGTACAGGAGCCACCGATCAGTGATTCTCTCTCATCAATGGTGTTACTTGAACTTTATGAAAAAACAATAAAAGAAAAACTAAGCATTAAACTCGAAGACAGAAAAAAGTTAAGTACTATATAGATATGTATATATATGTCAATATTTAATAATTGAGATATATAGGTATATCTATCTATATATTATACTAGAGGCCCAGTGCATGAAATTCGTGCACAGGTGCAGTCCCTGGTCCTGGCTGGCTATTGAAGCACAAGCATCTGATGCGGAAGGGCAGGTCCCAGCTGACCTCTGGGCCCTGGGCAACACCTGGGTTCCCAGGGTCCCTGTGGGCCTCCCTCTGCCTGAGTCACAGCACCTGAGTTCCCATGTGGAGAAGCAGTAAGCGCGGCCAGATGCCACAAGCCGGGGCATAGCATGGGCCTCTGGGTCACCCAGTGTTGGCTCCACACAGTGTGCTCTCAATTAGCAGCATCTCTACTACCACCCGCTGCCAGCACCACATCGCTGACGCCCGCCATGTTCCACACTGCCCCCTGGTGGTCAGCACACGTCATAGCAAGCAGTCGAACTAACTGAACTCCCGGTTGAGGGGACAATTTGCCTTGTGAGGCTTTTATTATATGATAATAACTGCTCAGTGATTTTTACCTCTTAACCACCCATTCATATTTTCTATTTTTTGTTTGTTTGTTTCTCTCTGGGCTGCATTTTGCATAATGCATTTAATCTATGTTCTATTCATGAATTCAGTCTCCTTTTAGTGTTGTCTAATTTGCTCTTTATAATTTTGAAAAAACTGTAATCACATTTTTCATTTCCAATTGTTTCATTTTGCTCTTTTTCAAACCTTCAACGTCACTTTTTAAAGTATCATTCTCCAATCTCATATTTTCAAGCCTCTCTCTTCTGTATTAAAACATATTAAGCCTAATTATTTTATATTCTAAATCCGATCATTACATGTTCAGACTGAGCTTCGCTTTGTTATTTTTGTGATTCCCTTTGTAGATTTTAGTCCATGTGTCCTCTATAAACTTTTGCACACCTACCTGAAATAGTACCAAGCAGGTTTTTTATTCGTGCCATTCACCAGGAACCATTATCAACCTGAGACCACTTTACATCAAATTCTCAGTTTCAGCTTTTCAACCCCTTAGACTCATTTCTAAGGCTTAGGAGGGTGTGAAAGCCACCTCTGGGTTACAAATACTCACAGGAGTTTGTTTTCCTCCTACAGGGCCACATGCAAGCCATGCTCTCTTAGCCTGAGTTCTCTCTTTCCTGAAGGCGTGGCCCCAAGGCCCTGTCTCTGGAGAGCCTGGGATCAATCCCTTCCCTCTGACCTGTTAGAAAACACAGCAGAAGCTCTGGATCCAGAAGAGCTGGCAGACACCCAAGCCTCTTAGGGCCAGAGTTGCTTTGACACTTTTTGATCTACCCTTTGAGGTTCCTGATTTTAAATCCTGTTTTCAGCCTTCTGTTGATTCCTTCTGTTTGTATAGCTCAGTGATATATTTCAGAATGCAATGACACAATTAATCCAGCTCTTTCGGCTTCTAAAGTGGTTTCCACTGGGGAGTTATGAAAGTTAGTGTGTCCACCAGGCTGTCGAGCACAGAAGTGCTTTTCTCGATTTGGAATCTCTTACTTATTAAGTATGGTGATGAGGATGTGGTTGTTTGTTATATTGTCCTACAGATCATTGTACGCTTGGCCATTGGTGGAAAAAAAAAAAAAAAAAAAGTTAGCATTAAGTTCAAGAAGCTAGAAAAATTCAACATCAACAAAAACTGATGGGAGGAATGGCCACGTTCTTAAAATGTTGTGATTTAGAGAACAAAGAATTAGATATAGATGTGATAAATTTAAATGGGTTATTTTTTTTTTTTTGGATTATTTGTTTTTACTCAAATCTGTGAGAGAGACTAGGGTTGGCAAGGAGAGACTACAGACCAAATCCTGCCCGCCACCTGTTTTTGTATGACATTCGAGTTCAAATGGTTTTTTATAGTTTTAAATAGTTGAGGGGAGAAATAAAGAATAATATTTCATGACACATGAAAGTTATATAAAATTCAAATTTCAGTGTCTATAATAAAGGTCCATTGGAACCCAGCCACCTCATTCATTTACATCCTGTTTCGGGCTACTTTTATGCCACAAAAGCAGAGTTAAATAGTATGGCCCCCAAAACCTGAATATTTACTCCCTGCCCTTGACAGAGAAATGTGCTGAGACCAGCCGAAACCGGTTTGGCTCAGTGGTAGAGCGTCGATCTGCAGACTGAAAGGTCCCAGGTTCGATTCTGGTCAAGGGCATGTATATTGGTTGCGGGCACATCCCCAGTAGGGGGTGTGCAAGAGGCAGCTGGTCAATGTTTCTCTCTCATCGACATTTCTAGCTCTCTATCCCTCTCTCCTCCTCTCTGTAAAAAATTAATAAAATATATTTTTTAAAAAAAAGAAAGAAATGTGCTGAGACCTGAAATATACACAAGTCTGGTAGAGAGATGTGGGAAAGAAAAAGAAAGAGAAGGTAGAGATATACTTTCAAAAAGACACAAATACCAAAGAGATACAAACATTCTAGCTCTTGTTGAAAATCAATTAGGAAATATCAAATAAACAAATTATTTTCTGGGAAATTGCATATTCCTAAAATGTTATTTAATTTTTATGCTAAAATAATAACTATTTTAACTAATTTTACTTACATTATTAAAATGTTCAGAACTGCATTACTCAAATGTTATCAGCAAGAGGTAGGATGCCTGGCTTGCTTACTAACAATGGAAGGCATGTTTAAAATTGTCAGAGATAGACTAGTCCCTTCCCTTCAAAATGGCCATATGTGCTAATGTTTTACCATCAGGTTACCTCAAATCCAATAATTTCTAATTTATTTAACTCTTTTGAAGCATAAATTAGAAAGAAAATCTTTCAACATGTCTTCTAAAATTAGAAAACTGATTAATAACTGATACCAAAACAGGAAGGTTAGCATCATAACTAACAGAAAATTCCTGAAAAATAATCAAATTATGATAACCATACAGTTAAAGAATGATGTGATTTTTAAAACAATTAGTGTCTTTTCTGAAAATGTGGGAATGTTTTAATATTAAGATACTTATTAATGTGTTTTGTTATATTACAGTCATAGGAAGTAAACTATCATCTAAGTAGGTGCCAAAAATGCATTTCACAAAATTCAACATTCATTTTTTACAAAAAACAAATAAAACAATAATTGATACTTATTTCTAACCTGATATAAGAAAGTATATCTCAAACCAACTACCATATTTGCACAAAATTAAAATGCTAGAGACATTTCAAATTAAGTAAGAAAAAATGTATCAGCCTCAGATGATTCAACACTTTCTTAGAAGTGCAATTTGCTGAAATAGATGTTATTGTGATCTACCTGGCAAACCTCAAGACCCTCAGTGGGAAAATGATGACACATAGTCTGAATGCTTCCCTCCCTCCCTCTCTCCTTGTTTTCCTTCCTTGCAACCTGATACTAGATGTCAGGGCCTACGTGGGTTGAAGAGGTGGTGTGGTCCCAGCCTGGCAAGGTGCAGGCGGAATCTACAGGGCGGAGACCATGAAGGACGGACACAGAGTGAGGCGAGCTCCCACAGAAGTGCTGCTGTGGTCCATAAGAGTCCCCAAGCTTGTGGAGGGCGTCTACACAAAGCAGCCCATCTGGGTTTTTGAGGGGGTCATCCACATGGGGTATAAAAGAGCGTGGGGGCAGAAGCAGTGAAAGAGCATGTTTAAATACAAGGTGTCAGATGAATAAGGATATACATGTTTAAGATATTGGAAACCACATATTCTACTGTCTACTGATGTTCTTGCCAAAGATTCATAAACTAAATGTAGTCATGAAGAAGCTGAAATTCATATGGACAAATATCCTGTAAAGAGGATTATACTATTTAAAAGTGTCAAGGTCATGGAAGTTAAAAAAGGCTTAGGAACTATTCCAGTTTGAAGGAACCTGAAAAGTCATGTTTCACTAACTGCAATCCTTCATCCTGGGTTTAATCATTTTCCTGTAAGACATTAGTGGGACAATTGGCAGTGCCTGAATGGGTCTCCCGGCTGCATGGTACACAGTAATCTAACAAGTGAATTTCCTGATTTTGGTGGTAATTTACTATATTGTGGTTATGTCCTGACTTGTAGGAATTACTAAAGTAGTTGAGGTGACGGGGAATTATGTAGGTAACTTACTATAAAATAGTTATCGGGGGAAAAATGTCCTTAGTATTATTCATGCATCTTTTCTGCAAGTCTAAAAATACTTAAAAGTAATAATCACTTTAGCATAAAAAAGAAATAAAGATACAAAATAACTGAGGGATATACAATAAGCTTAGTTAAATTAAGAAATATACTATATTCCTAGATGGAAACAATCTACATATTTAAAATAAAATTATCATATAAATTTTAAGCAATTTTAATTAAAATGCCAGCAAGATTTTTTTCAAACCAAGTAAGTCTGAAATAACCAGCATGCAAGTAAATACACACATGCACATAAACATACATATACTTATAAAGTAAAAAATAATGTAAGAAACTTAATATTTGGGAATTAAAATATATTATAAATTATATTAATTTAAGCAGTTAAATGGTTTTTCAAATCTTTGCATACAGAAATATTAATTCTAGAGGATCACCTGGTGAAAATTATTTTATATTACATAAAAAGATGTAGTTGCCCAAGCCGGTTTGGCTCAGTGGGTTGAGTATCAGCCTTCAGACTAAAGGGTCCTGGGTTCGATTCCAGTCAAGGGCACATGCCCAGATTGTGGGCTCAGTCCCCAGTGGGAGATTTACAGGAGGCAGCCGATCAATGATTCTCCCTCATTGATGTTTCTCTCTCTCTTTCCCTCTCCCTTCCTCTATGAAATCAATAAAAATATATTTAGATTAAAAAAATGTGGATATATATATATAACTACATATATATATATATATATATATATATATATAGAGAGAGAGAGAGAGAGAGAGAGAGAGAGAGAGAGAGAGAGAGAAGCTTATCAAAATGATGTTTATCATATCAAAACGAATAAACAAGTTACATAGTAGTTATATACATATTGTTAGATTTAGGATAATATTTTTGGTTTGCTGTGTCATAGTCTGCTAAAACAAAATACCAAGTGGCTTAAAGAAAAGAAATTTATTTCTCACAATTGCAGAGGCTGGGAAGTGCAAGATCAGGGCACCAGCAGATTCCGTTTCTGGTGAGGACTCACCTCCTGGTTAACAGACAGCAGTCTCCTCGCTGTGTCCTCACACATGGGGGTGAGGGGGC